ACTCTAATTACAAGAACACAACCTGCTGCCGCTGCAAACGGTATAATATATATGAGGTGTTACGAAGCTATAATACACGCACGCGTGTAGTACACGCACGCGTGTAGAGAGCGCTCCTCTCTGTTTCTCTCTTCATTCTCATTCCTTTTTTAATCGTCCCTCGGTCGCTCGCGTTATGTTACTCTGGCCATGCTTCTACAGGCATCACTGATGCGGTACCAGTAAAAGACGCGAGCATTCTAATGCTAGCTTAGCTACATCAGCAATCGACCATATAGCATGTCTCCTCACAAACTAACGTAGTCAACGTCTCTGCTAATTACACCAGATTAAGCATAATGTGTTTCGCGTACTTTCACAAAAACCAACCAGGCCTCGCATCTACCAGCTCCACCTAGCGGCTGGTGGGAGGCATGGCTGAAAAGCAAAATAAATACACATAATATACACGCGCGCGCGCGCACGTCAGCAACATGACCATCAACAAACATCAAACAACACGTGTGATATATTATATTGCATTAACGAGCTGCTACGATTAAACCGAATCTTGTTTAAAACAAGCCAGCGCAATGACACTCCGGCATGCGTAAGCTATACGCGCATTTCATCGGAAAAAATCACACCATTAAAACCTGCGTCACTAAGTAGAAGGAAGGACCCACATAAAGAGGATAGATGAGAGAGGCCCTGCATACTGTATAGTTACAGGAGGCCCTGCATACTGTATAGTTACAGATGGCCCTGCATACTGTATAGTTACGAGTGGCCCCGCATACTGTATAGTTACAGGTGGCCCTGCATACTGTATAGTTACAGGTGGCCCTACATACTGTATAGTTACAGGTGGCCCTACATACTGTATAGTTAGAGGCGGCCCTGCATACTGTATAGTTAGAGGTGGGCCTGCATACTGTATAGTTACAGGAGGCCCTGCATACTGTATAGTTAGAAGAGGCCCTGCATACTGTATAGTTATAGGTGGCCCCGCATACTGTATAGTTACAGGTGGCCCTGCATATACTGTATAGTAATAGGAGGTCCTGAACACTCCATGGCTAACGCTCCATTAGGAGTGTTCCCAACTTTGATATCATTAATAATTAATGATTAATGATTAATGATTGATAATCCTAACCCTAACCCTAACCTAAATAACATTAAACCACAAAATAATATATGACCAATATATATATGTATATATATATATATGTTATTATGACCATTAATGACATTAAAGTCAGGAACACTCCTAATATAATGGAGTATCACCCGTATAGTTAGAGGAGGCCCTGCATACTGTATAGTTACAGGAGGCCCTGCATACTGTATAGTTACATGAGGCCCTGCATACTGTATAGTTATAGGAGGCCCTGCATACTGTATAGTTACATGAGGCCCTGCATACTGTATAGTTACAGGTGGCCCTGCATACTGTATAGTTACAGGTGGCCCTGCATACTGTATAGTTACAGGTGGCCCTGCATACTGTATAGTTACAGGAGGCCCTGCATACTGTATAGTTACATGAGGCCCTGAATACTGTATAGTTACAGTATAGGAGGCGATAAAACACTATTCGGCTTGATTTCACTCCTTCCATATCATTGTGAATTATTTTCCTACTGAGAACCAGAACTTTACAAATAATTTACAACAACCCACTTTATTGAGGAACACGCACGCACACACGCACGCACGCACACACGCACGCACGCACGCGTACATCTCGTGCATGAAACCTCAATGCAGAATTGCACCTACATCAACCGCTAGCCTACACATGGAATGATACCTAATTGAGCTTTGGCAACATGGAAATAATACAACTAATCTAAGGATGAATAGTTTAGCTAAACAAACAAATCTTCCCGCAAACCCACATGATGCCAAGATCGATCAGGGATTGCAACATGTGACGAGCGATGATTAGCGATGCTGATCATTCCTCCTCCTCATCCTCCTCCTCCTCCTCCTCCTCATCCTCCTCCTCCTCCTCCTCCTCATCCACGCCGGACAGTGAAGCCACACTAACATGTGATGAGCGATGATTAGCAATGCTGATCATTCCTCCTCCTCCTCATCCTCCTCCTCCTCCTCCTCCTCATCCACGCCGGACAGT